CGCCGTCGAACCGCTCTGTTCAGCCCGTTTTGGAAGGCTACCACAGCCATTCCTTCTGATATGTTTGGTAAGGTCATCCTTACTCAGTTAAATCGAGCGAGGAAGTCCCTTAGTCCCTTTCCAGGTGATTGTTTGATGGCAAATATGTCATTTACTCTCGCCTCACGCCTTTGTCATGACCCCAAATACCCGGTCGTGATGGTGCCTATCACAATACTAGGCAAGCCAACCCAATCAAGTATCCTTAATAAATTTCTTTTAATAAAAACATTTTTCTAACATTAATTAAGTCTCAATTTTTCATAAGAAATATTTAAACCATTGAAATGTGCGGAAAATAGTATAACATTAAACCAACACATCCCAACAATCTGGTGTCACGATTCTAGAGCCTCCAAATACAACTAGTCTGACTGTCTATTACACAACAAGTCTAAAAATGCAAAAAAAAAAAACAAGGATAGGGAGGAGGAAAGCAGGGTTGCGGACGTCATACAGCTACCTTGCAGTCTCCAGCAAACTCCGATAATGCTGAGGACCCTCACTCTGCCGCTCGGGCACCTGGATCTGTACACAAGGTGCAGGGAGTAACGTGAGTACGCCAACTCAGTAAGTAACTAAAGTAAATAAGGTCTGAGTGTAGTGACGAGCAGTTAAAAATCATATATAAGAGTACACAACAGGGTATCAAATCAAACTCAATAGTTTAAAAGTCAGTTACTTCGTAAAAACTTCAGTTTCAATTGAAATACCTTGAAATCATTTACTTAGCTTTCAACAGAGGCTCACTATAAAAGAAGAGTGAAAACAGCAAAGATATCATAAATGGGCTCCTTGGGAAAGATATCACTCAAAAATATAGCCTCTCGGGCAAGCTTCTCAGTCACTCGTGACTTAGCTCTCGTCACTCAGTACTCACACTCAGCACTCAGGCTCGATAATATCTCATAATAGTAATAATCATAATACCGTTGCAGCGTGTAGCCCGATCCATAGTTTATAGTCGACTATGCTCAGTGGGGGTGTACAGACTCCAGAGGGGCTCCTACAGCCTAAGCGTCATATCGCTGCAGCGCGTAGCCCGATCCAATATATATATATATATATATCGTTGTGGCGTACAGCCCGATCCATATAAGTATCACTGTGGCGAGCGGTCATTAACCTCACAGCCACTCGGGCATAACAGTGGAAATCAGGGAAATTCAGCCCAAACAGGTTTCACATTTTAAGAAATAGAGTGATAAAAACCAGGTTTAAATAGTAAACATGTAAAACATGACTGAGGATATGCTTTCAAACAAATAGAGTGAGAATACAGTAAAAATGCCCCTAAGGGTCTCAACGGGTCGGCACAACGCCCCAAACATGGCATACAACCCATAATATAGTATCAATCTCTAAAATAAGTGATATCATAAGATTTGAAAATCAAATATGCGGCTTAATAGTCGTTACGGGACGGACCAAGTCACAATCCCTATCGGTGCATGCCCACAAGCTCGTCACCTAGCATGTACGTCACCTCATTTATCAAAAACAATACGAAATACCGGGGTTTGTACCCTCAGTTCCAGATTTACAATGGTTACATACCTTAAACCGGATGAAATACTACTCCGTGACGCCTTTGCCTCTCACCTCGGTCTCAACTCGCATCGAATCTTCCCAAAATCAGAATCATAACATTAGAATATGCTAAGGGAACGAAGCCCATGCAAAAATAATCAAATTATACCAAAAATCCCGAAATTGACCAAACCCGACCCCCGGACCCACGTCTCGGAATACGATAAAATTTACATCAATGAAATCCTTATCACTCTATGAGTTCATTCATATCAAAAGTACCAAAATCCGGCAACAAATGGCCCCTCAAACCCTCACTCAAAGGTCTCCAACACCAAGCCCTAATTCCCAATTTTTAACCCTTAATTTCCATTAATTTCAAGTCAAATCAGTGGAATAACACCATAGGAACTAGTTTAGGGTCCAAAAACCTTACCTCTATGAAATCTCCTTGAAATCCCTCTTCAAATAGCTCCCTCAAGCTCAAACCCGCATGAAAATGGTGAAAAATAGCTCAAAAATTGCGAAGGATGAAATATATACCATCTGACCCAGGGATTCCGTACCTGCGATCCTACTTCCTCTTCTACGGTCCAACCAACCACATCTGCAGTTTCCACTTAAAGGTCCATTTCTGCATCTGCGATCACATTCTCGCACTTGCGTTACCGCAGGTGCGCTCCTTTAGCCGCTTCTGTGGTTCTAGTTGATCCCCTCTTTGGCCGCATCTGCGGCTCCATCTCCGCTTCTACGAGCCTCCACCTGCGGTCCCCTAGCCGTAGGTGCGGTTATGATAGCAGACTTAGCTTCAGCTGCAATTTCCAAATTCCAAACTTTCCGCCAACCATCCGAAATCACCCCGAGGCCCCCGGTACCTCAATCAAAAGCACAAACAAGCCACATACCAATATCCAAACTTATACAAATCTTTAAAACACCTCAAACAACATCGAATCAACCAAATCACATCAAATTCAAGCTTAAGGTTCCAAAATCTTCCAAATTCCGCTTTTGATCAAACGTCTACCAAACCACGTTCGAATGACCTGAAATTTTACACACACATCTCAACTGACACTACGGACCTATTGCAACTCTCGGAATTCCATTCTGACCCCTATATCAAAATCTCACCTACCAACCAGAAAATGCCAAAATTCCATTTTCACCAATTCAAGCCTAAATCTACTCCAGACATCCAAAACACATTCCGATCACGTTCCTAAGTCCCAAATCATATCTCAAAACTATCCAAACCATCGGAATTCACATCCGAACCCTATTTCACATAAGTCAACATCCGGTTAACTTTTCCAACTTAAGCTCAGTCAAAAGAGACTAAGTGTCTCAAACCTCACCAAAACCTTTCCGAACCCGAGCCAACCAACCCGATAATACATAATACCGATAAACACAGCAATAAGAAGCAGAAACGGAGGAAATAGAGTGGTAACTCATGAGACGATCGGCCGGGTCATCACAACCTTTTTTGCTATGGCATGGGTTGTTACGAACTTGTAGGCTATCTCCTCGAATGTTTCAATCGAGCATGCGGGCAGCTGCGAATACCAAGTCAACGCACCCCCGGTGAAGGTTTCTCTGAACTTCTTCAACAAGATGGAGGATACTTGCTCTTTGGCGAGGTCATTTCCCTTCATTGCAGTGACGTAGTGAGTCACATGATCTTCAGGATCCGTTGTGCCGCCGTATATTTTTGGGTATGGAGGCATTATGAAGGTCTTGGGTATTGCATGTGGTGTAGCTTCGTTGCTATATGGCTGCTCGACAAACCGACCGGCATCCCTTTTTGGTAGGAGTTTTGGGGCGCCTGGTATTTTGTACACCCTTTCTTGATGCTGTTTCATTTGGTCGCAGAGGATTTTGTTCTCGTTCTCCATGTCCTCCATTTTCTTCAGAATGGTTATGAGGGTGTCGTTACCTGCATCACTAACATTATGAGTAATATTTGTTACGGGAGGGGCATGTTGTTCGTCTGTTTCTGGCGCAATGCAGACTTTTGTACCTTCTCTGTTCGACCTTTAGGTGGGCTTGTCAAGAATGTTGGTCAGCGTGTTCATCAACCACGCCTCGAGAAGCTTTTTCATTATCGGTGGCGCCTCTTCCGTTGCGGACATAGAGGCCTCTTTACCGCTTGAGGCTGTGACGCTGTCGTGTGGAGGGGCGAGTTGTTTCGCCTGGGAGAGGTATTTGGTGTTACATCTTCACCCTCCGTTTCATCGGCTTCATTGATGGTGTGGAGAAGATTAGTGGTGAGGTCGGTTATTGCTTTCCTCTTTTCCTCTCTGTGGCCTGCCATGTTAGATTCGTGCACATAAGGAAGTATAGGGTTTTTGCGTCTCCTTTTTTTTAGATCTAGAAGAAACTAAAATTTTAACAAGAAAATCTCCACAGACGGCGTCAAATTATTTGACCAAAAAGTATGAAACTCTTTGTTAAACTAAGTAATGGGATAAGGGATTAATCCTAGTTAAAGATAATATCCCTAGATCTAAAATTAGTTCATATGGATAATGTGTGACCACATGGAAGTAAATTTAATGCGATACATAATAAATGTTGCTGCTTTTAATGTGATGAGGGCGAGTAATAAGTAACAATAAATGACACTAAATGTAAATAAGAAAGAATATTCACCCAATAATAGAAGAGGTGAATGATTCCTTCTTTGACAATGATGAATGACAAAAATATGAGAGAATATTATACACTTTCTCGGATCTGGTGGAAATGACAATGGATTTAATGTAAGAATCGAATCTCTCTCAGAAAGTTGTTCTTTGTATTTCTCTAGAGAGCAAACTTTTCAAAAATGTTCTTATCAAATAAAATATTACATGCATTTTGTCTTATCTCTCCTACTATTTATATGGGATATTCCCAAAGAACCCTAAAAAGTACAACAGAAGGAATATCCAATGGAATATTCCCTTTGAAAGTTTCAAAGTTATGCTAGTCGTTATTTCTGTCCCTGCTACTCGACCTCGGCCTTAATGAGTCACTCGACAGCTCATTCTCGTTAACCACTTATCGACCTAGGTCAAACTGCCCATGACGAGTTACAATTCTCACGCTTGGTCACCTCTTCGTGTCGAATTTCCTCGATCGGATTTTGACCCATACAAATTTAAACTGCAATCAGTTCACATTAAAACTCTGTATGGAGTTTCCTTGCTAACTAATTAATAGGTGATAATTTATTTTTTTCGTAATTTGAAATAAGTTGAGTTTGACAAGGCTTTAAATAGGTAAGAAAAAGATACTCATATAAAAAAAATTTAGATCATCCAATCTAAGAGCAATATGATCAAATCATACGTAGGTCCTACCACAAACCTGAATACGACCACACGAATGAATCTAATTAAAGTACTTCCTTAATTAAATATAGTAACTTTCTAGTTCTAGCATAATAATGAGAGGAGTGTTCGAGAAACGTTAATCTTGTCAATCATTATCTCTTATTCAACGGATAACGTTAGTACTGCGTCAGCATTCAACAGCTCTTATATAACCTCGTACGCTGTAAGAATCCCATAAACGAGAAAATAGTGTAGTGAAGTTTAATTTGTGAAAAAGTAAAGTAATAAAGTGATGGAGATAAGAGTAGGGACAAAGTTACTATTACTTGCATTATGCTTATTGATATCCGCCGTGATTGGTGGTTACTGCCACCGTCTGACGGCGGATATGCGGTGGCAAGTTTTGAACCGAAGGCAGCAGCAAAATGAGAAAGTGGATTCAGTTGACAGTACTCGACGTAATTTGCTCTCCAATGGACTCGGCTTGACTCCTCCTATGGGGTAAATCCTATTGATCTCTTCCAATAATATCGCTACTAAAAATTCCATTACTAAATTCAATTTGATTATTCAGAATGTTCTTTCTTATGTTTTACTGTTTGATTTTCATCTTTTTCCATGTATGATCTTGTAGCATTACTGTTCTTAGTTTAAATATGTATACTCATAGATTTGAACTTTATCGGTTCTGAAATTAAATATTTGTACATATTTAATAGATTTCTTAACACAAATATAGAGTCTCAGCCAAAGCTACTAGATTTCGCCTCTGTGTATACTCAGAGACAGATTCAAAAGTTAAATTTTTAGTTCACCATTGAATGAATAACACTTTTGAAATTATGGATCAAAGTTTAATTTTTTTGAAATTTTAATTTTTTTTTCACGTGTCTATGCTCTGTGTCTAAAATATTTGGTTTTGTTGAACTCGTTATTTATATATACTACGTTTGCAGCCAGAGGTGGAGCTAGCATACGCCTTACAGGCCGAACCCAGTAGCTTTGGTCCAAACTATGTATTTGTCTTATAAAAATTCATCGAATATGTACAAATTATTAATGTAGATTCCGAACTCATAAGCTTCAAATCGTGGCTCCGGCTCTATTTATCCGCCTCTTGCACAAAGTAGTAGTTGGCATGGTAGAGCTCTGCATATATTTGCAGAAAATCCTTGACTCCGTCTCTGTGTTTGTTATGTGTTCCTCCAATTGATTTGTACACATTATGTGTATATATATGTGCGTGTGTGTGTGTTTGAGTTTATGCTATGTTTGTACATATTGCCACAAAAAAGTAGTGGTTGCATGATCCTCTACACCATTTTCTGTAAAATCATGGATCTTGACTTTTTCTTGCAATCAGTTAAGCACAGTCAAATAATCTCTTTAGGCTTTAGCAATTTTAACTAACAAAAACAAAAAATTAATTTTAGGTGGAGTAGTTGGAATCATTTTGGCTGCAACATTGATGAGAAAGTCATAAGAGAAACTGGTAAGTTTTAAGTACTGCACTAAGTGGTTTATCTGTTTTTGTCTGCATTACCTAATTTAGTCCCTGATGTTATAATCAAACAAATTCATATTCATCTATAATGTTGCACTTGTTTTTGGTTGACAGCTGATGCCTTGGTTTCAACTGGTCTTGATAAGCTGGGATATAAATATGTCAATATCGGTATGTCTCTGACTAAACGTTGATCTAGAATTTAGAGGCAGTGTTTGAATCTCTTAACATATACTAGTATATAAATTTTTCAAAATTTTATGTTAAATCTTTTAAATATGTATATAAGACAGTACGTACACGAGCACCCACAGGTTATATGCTAGATCCATCTTTGTATTTGATTCTGCTGTCTACAGCTACCTTCCCTTAGTTATCGACATTGATAAAAGCCTAAAAACTTGTGTATGAACCCCTTTCCTTATAGATGACTGCTGGGCGGAATCTCAACGTGATGATCAGGTATTCTTTGTTTCAACTGAAAACTGTGTTTAGTACTGCAATTCAGCTTATTTTATGTACTATCTTCCTTACTAATTTTCTTTGCTTATAAAATCTAAAATTCCAGGGAAATTTTGCACCTAAAAAGTCCACATTTCCTTCTGGAATGAAAGCTCTAGCTGACTATGTTCACAGTAAAGGTCTTAAGCTAGGAATCTACTCAGACGCAGGGTAACTTGAAGTTGCACATGAAATTCATCTTAAAAAGATATACTTGATCTCGATATTCACCATTTAAGGAGATTTTATTATATTCTGCAGGTATTTTACTTGCAGCAAGAAAATGCCTGGTTCACTTGGTCATGAGGAACAAGATGCAAAAACTTTTGCAGCATGGGTAAGTACAACGTTCCTGATTAATCTTGACAATTAACCATAAAACAATTCGAACATAGTTGTGAATAACAACATCTTCATTCAGGGTATTGATTATTTGAAGTATGATAATTGCAACCATGATGGAACAAAGCCAACTGTGCGGTAAATATTTGGTTTTCTGTTCAACTCGCGAAATCATGTGTGACAGATTCCACTAGTCGTCTACCGTGTGTTCTTTTCTTAACCGGGGATCCTGTCTTGTGTAGATATCCTGTAATGACAAGAGCTCTAATGAGTGCTGGACGACCTATCTTCTTTAGTCTTTGTGAATGGTGACAACTTCTTCCTAAATGAGCCCATGGTTTCCTGCTCTCATTTTGACATTATTGTAGTGAACTTATGTGCCTATTTATTTCAAATAGGGGCGACTTGCATCCGGCATTGTGGGGTGGCAAAGTAGGTAATAGCTGGAGAAACACAAACGATATCACTGATACATGGGAAAGGTAATGGTTAAAAATAGGTCTTTGAATCGGCAGATTTCATGACTTGATCTAGTATTCATCTTTATTTCTTTGACAGCATGATTTCTAGAGCAGACCAGAATGAAGTTTATGCAGAACTTGCAAGGCCTGGTGGCTGGAATGGTTAGTTTTTGGATACTTTTTAGTTTTTTCTTAAATCTCTATAGTTTAGCTGTTAGAGAGAGCATACTGTTAATTACTTAATTATATTATGTCTCAACACGCCCTCTCTCGGGTGGGTCGATTCTTTTTCATTGACCAAACATGTGGAAATATTCTTTCTGCGTTTGAGTGGCCATGAGACTTAAACCTATGACTTTTTGCATACTCCGATACCATGTTAATGTGTGATCATCACATTTTAAAAGTTTAGCTGTTCAAGCGAACACATTTTTAATTACTTAATTATATTATGTTCCGCACTTGCAATTGTTTCCAATCAGATCCCGACATGCTTGAGGTGGGAAATGGAGGTATGACAAAGGATGAATACATTGTCCACTTTAGTCTCTGGGTGATTTCAAAGGTAAAAGAACAGGCAAATTTATATTTCACTTTTTATTAGGACTATTTGTGCTTCTCAGGACAGAATGTATGAACCATTTTGTACATCCTTGCTAATTCCAGGCTCCCCTTATCATCGGTTGTGATGTGAGAAACTTATCAAATGATACCAAAGAAATACTTGACAACAAGGAGGTCATTGCTGTAAACCAAGGTACTAAACTGCATAATATGTTAACTGCAACTAGTCATTTGTTATAATTCACACACGATAACAAAGATAGGAGCTAGATCCGTTCCGTTGTTTTCAAAGGTATTAGCAACTCAATCATTTGCTTTAAACAGATGAATTAGGCGTCCAGGGCAAAAAGGTCAGAATGGAAGGCGATATTGAGGTAAATAATCTATATATAATTTAACTTTTTTCCATGGCGATTTCGCATATTGCAGACACTAATCTTTTCACATTCTATTACGACCAGGTCTGGGCAGGGCCTTTATCAGGCTATAGAGTAGCTTTAGTGCTTCTCAACCGTGGTCCTCAGAAATATGAAATAACAGCACACTGGGATGACATTGGAATCCCTCCTAACAGCGTCGTAGAGGCAAGAGATCTTTGGGAGGTATGTCTTTGTTACATTTCCTAATCTGTCTTTGCTATAAATTGATACTTTCTTGTTGATCTTGTTTATTTGATCAACTATGTGACCAAATACTCTGTATGCCTAGATTAGACTCACCAATGTAAAAAGGGTAAATATGACATGGATACAAGTACTTCATAGACCATAGTGATCCTTTAGAATGCTCTGGAAAAACATTAAATAACTTGAACATACTTGTGAATTTTACATACCTCTACATAATACTTAGCCGGATCCATAGAATAATCTATTTTCTCAGCCAGATCAATAAAGTAGTCTATCATCAGGGGCGGAGCTACCCTTATGTTAGGAGAGTCAATTGACACCCCTTCGTCAGAAATTATATTGTATAGATAGGTTATATATATATATATATATATA